ACTGCTAAGGACCAGATGATTTTTATTATGTCCTGATACCTAAAACCATAGAACTCAAAGAAGGTGTACTTTCTTTTTCACACAACTGTAACTTCTCTAGAAATGTCACATGCATTTACCTCCTGACTTGATGCTGTTCCCACTGCCTTGAGATGGTCACTGGCCTCACACACAGTCTGGAGAACACTACAGCAGAGATCCTGTAGTTGCTCAAGAGCCTGGGGAGAGAAAGAGACAGATACACACACATACATAAAGACAGGCAGTGATAACTGTTATGGAAGCAGAGAGTTACAATATATTTTTAATAAGCATCTTATGCTACAGGAATGTCCAAGTTAGAGCTACATTCCAAAGTGGGTGATGTGGGGCATTCCTGTAAATATGAGGTAATGTGCTGATATTCTAAACATCCGTAATGTAAAAGCTACCAATGGAAGGTGGAAAAATTAACTAGATATTCTTGGAGGAAAAAGGCAGGAAGGTTTCTTGCAGGAAAGGAGGGAGGCTGGTTTAGTTCTCTGGATGAATTCTTTGTGTCAGCATAAGGCCCATTCATTATGATTTTCCCTTACCTGGTGTTCTCTAACCCATTTGGGTGGCGAATAGCTCAGCGTCCCTCCTAGTGCTGGGGTCAACTGATCCAAGGCCACATAATGTGGAAGTTCTCGTAGAGAGAGAAGCCGGATTTCCTGCAGGATAAGGAGACTGCATCAGATACAAAAAGTTCCCAGATTCTTTTCAGTAATATCCAACATCTTGCCACCACTCCTCCTTACCTCGGCCACAAACCCTAAGTCAAGGCTAGACCTAAAGTAATATTAGAAATGGTTAGTAGTAGCTCATCATAGTCTTTGAAGGGCAAAAATACACAATGAAATGTTTATTTTGGCCAAAGAAAAAAATATGTCTTTCTCCTTTGTGCAGCAACTTGCATGATAGGAACATTATTTTGACTTTTTTTTCCTCTTCACTCCTAACCCTGTTATTCTAATATTAATTGCATGCTTCTCACATTTATTTGCTATATCCTCCAAACTGTTCAAGGCACAATTTGGAGGATATAGCAAATCCTGTATCAGACAACTCTGTATCAATGCATTGATTTTATCTAGGAATATATTAAATAAATGATACACAGAGACACTATGAGTTAGATTTGGTCGAGAGATAATGCCCAGCTCACACAATTTTGTCTAGAGAACATCTAGAGGTTTATATAATCACACAATTATCAGCCATGTCCTTTGCATGACACTTGGTTTCACTGGGATTTCAGCAAAAGCTTACCAGCCCTAAAGCAGAAAACAATACATTGTATAGCTTTTTCTTCATTGTCAGAAAGCAGCATTATTGACTAATGTCTCAACTGGATGGAAAGCTAGAGCTAAATAAACAGGAAACCTTATGGGCCATCTCAAATGGCCAAGATTTTGTAAGGTTCTCTCATCTGTTCAGAGTTTTTCCATAGTAGATTCACCTCCAGTTAACATGTAGACTGGATTCACACTTCATGCTAAACCATGCATTAACCAGGTTTATTGAATAAACCACAGTTAGCTGGACTGCATAAATACTAAATCATTAACCATGGTTTATAAACCACAAAGATTTGTACCAAAGTCTAAACTAAAATCCAATCAAACCACATCATAGCTTAGCAAAATGTGTAATCCCAGGCAGAGCTTCAATCACTCAGTTGTGGCTGCCATCTTGACTTTTTTGACCCCCTGGATGCTCCTGACCATGACCTAGATACAGTGGGGCAAAAAAGTATTTAGTCAGCCACCAATAAGATGAGAGAGGCCTGTAATTTTCATCATAGGTA